ATTTTTTACTGGAGAGTAGCTTAGCCTCCTCCATGATACCCCCCTCACCGGGTCCAGATCGTGGCCTCTAGAAGCCTCTTGTGTTCCCAACCGCACCGAGACTGACGACTTTTCATTGGCCAGCCGGTTAGCGCGGTCGTCCTAATAGTAAAAACACACACATACGCACACAAACCTCTTGCATGCGCCTGAAGAAGTCGAGGCCGGGCTGCAGCGCCTTCCCGATGGCGAACGCCTTCAGTGCCGCGTTGTAGGCGGGGGTGGACACCGGTAGGCCTCCTTCCTCCGCCGCAATTAGCTCCTAACGAGAGAGACCGAGATACAGGCAAGTGCAAAAAATAAGAGAGACAGACAGACAGAGAGACACACACAGAGGCGGGGAGAGAGAGAGAGAGAGAGAGAGAGAGAGAGAGAGAGAGAGAGGATGACAGAGACAGAGACGGAAAAACAGAAAGATGGGAAGAGGCGCTGGGTTTCTGGAGCGCTGCGAGGACATCAGCAGAAAAAAAAAAACGCTGCTATGGTAACGTCGGTGTGAACGTTTGCGAGACAATACTAACACCGAGAGACAGAGCAGAGGGGACAAGGGAAGAGTACCTCTGAAAGATAGCGTTAACAGCCCGTCTTGGGCAACGGGTGGCATCAATGTAACTCGAGCACCAACGTCAGCGCAGCAGCAGCAGCAGCAGCAGCAGCAACGACAACATCAGCAGCAACAGCAACGACAGCAGGACAAGGGGAAACGACAACTAAAACAACACACGCACCATTACACACACAAAAAAAAAACTATGTAAAACCAATCACCTGCACGGCCCGTTCCCACTCCCCTCCTCGTGCCAAAGCGCTGACGCAAGAAGTTACCGTGTAGGCGTTGGGCTTTATCCCACGCCGACGCATCTCTCCCTCCAAATCCAGCGCCTCTTCCCACCTGTGAGGTGTTCACGTGGGAGCAGGAATATGAACCAGAGGATTGGAGGAAGATAGTCATCGCTCCTCTATTGCCAGGATGGGCACCAGCATGATGCTGGGTTGTTTGTGGCAACGGGGGTAACCGTGACGACAACACCAGTTATGATACCACACCCAAAAAACATACAGCAACAGAAATACCACCAACATCAATGACAACAATACACATCCAATCGACAACACCAACAACATTATCAGCAACAACAACGACAACAATATGGTCATCATCACCATCACCACCACCAACAACAAACAACGACCACACCATCAACGACAGCAATAACAACAACAACCACTACCACCACCAGCACCACCACCAACAACAGCACCATCACCAACAACAATATCATCACCAACATCACCAACACAAACTACAAAACAAAAAACGCAAAAACAACAAAAATAACCACAATAACACCACCACCACCACCAAGGTAAGCTGTCTCTCTCTACCTTCCAGCGGTAGAACATGCAGAGATAGCCGCCGTGTATACGTAAACGTCCGGCGATACCCCTTCCAACTCGCGCAGCTCGGCAAGCAGCGATACAGCAATCTCCCACTGCCCCGCGGCCCCGACTGCCTTCATCGCAGTCACGTAAGTATACGTGTCCGCCTTGCATGTAATCGTTGACGGGGGGTCCCGGGGGGGAAAGGGGGGGGGGGGGGGGATTGTCTCCCTGCGTGAGGACCCTTCCCGGTTCCGCCAAAGGAGGGGTTTT